CTCTTCATCTAACATCAAACCTGTTGACGAAAACAAAACAATTTTTTTTCTAGTAAGTTAAATTTAATGTGTAATCATTGTTTGTAAGTCAGGATTTATGACTGTAATATTTTAGAAATTTGTAACAAGTGTAAATTAAAAATTTAAAAAAACCGACTTCAAAAACGTGCAGATGCCATCACAACATCTTAACCAAATTTATATGGGATCACCCCTGAGGTACCCCCTTACTAACAAAAAAAAAATCATATAAATCGGACAAGGTAGTAAAGCATTATCGCTAAACATACATAAAAAATGAAGAGTTTGAGGATTTTCTCATGGACAAAATTTTTAGATATTGACCAAATTTATATGGGACCACCCCTGAAGTAGCCCCTTTCTAACAAAAAAAGAATTATTGAAATCGGACACCGTGTTAAAGAATTATCGCTGAACATACATAAAAAAAAAAAAAAAAAAAAAAAAAAAAAAATATCGCGACGAATTGATAACCTCCTCCTTTTTTGAAGTCGGTTAATAAAATAAACTAAGATACGGGTGGTGACTAGTTTACAATAAATCATAGATTATTATTACTTACACTAGGAGCTTTAAAAAGACTAAATTGATTTCTTCCTGTTTTTGTTTTTTTAGTTTTACATCTGTTTTATATCCCGTTTTACAACATGGAACGAAGAAACGTAGGGGAGAGTTGGACAAAACAGGATAGTCGGATAAAACGGGATATCGGCCAATATTTATGAATACGCAGCGCTATCTAACGAGTCGTGGCGTTAGTCACTATAAATAATGTTTGCTTGAATGTAGGAAGTGTTTATTCTCATTAACTGCTGTTCAGTAGTGAGTGACAACGGCAGTTTGAAAAAGTGAGGTTATACTATTTAGTTTTATTAGCGGTTAATTTAGTGTTTCTTATTTTAAACATAGCCCAATCGGATTAGTATTTTAGATTCTGAAAAATTCGAAGCAGCAATTTTCCTTCGGAATTCGTTGGAGGGGGTCTCTGGTAGTCTAAATTCAAAAAGTTGGGATTCCAAAGTTGTCGTTACCTCCGCCATCTTGATTTAAAGGGTTATTTTTTGTATCTTGAATAACTCATTTATTTTCAATTTTACACGGAAAATAGTTTTTACAAAAGTTATTTAAAATTAAATTTCCTACAATTCTGCTTTTTTTGTACGATCGATTTTTTTCGATTTATACCCGAAAAGAGGGGGTGAATTTTTGGTTATAGAATAACTCGTTTATTTTCAATTTTACGAGAAAAATTGTTATAAACAAAGTTGTTTAAAATTAAATTTCCTACAATTCTGCTTTTTTTTTTGTACGATCGATTTTTTTCGATTTATACCCGAAAAGAGGGGGTGAATTTTTGGTTATAGAATAACTCGTTTATTTTCAATTTTACGAGAAAAATTGTTATAAACAAAGTTGTTTAAAATTAAATTTCCTACAATTCTGTTTTTTTTGTACGATCGATTTTTTTGTATTTATCCCTGAGAAGAGTGGGGGTGAACCTAAGTATTGTATTGTCACGTTTATTATTGATGTTGTACCATTATTTTTCTGTTTGTTTTTTTTTGCTGATACCTGGAATTAAAAAGAAACGTGATAATACAATGATAAGAGTTTACCCCCACTCTTCTAAGGAATAAATACAAAAAAATCGAGCGTACAAAAAAAAACAGAATTGTAGGAAATTTAATTTTAAACAAATTTGTTTATAACAATTTTTCTCGTAAAATTGAAAATAAACGAGTTATTCTATAACCAAAAATTCACCCCCTCTTTTCGGGTATAAATCGAAAAAAATCGATCGTACAAAAAAAAAAGCAGAATTGTGGGAAATTTAATTTTAAATAACTTTTGTAAAAACTATTTTCCGTGTAAAATTGAAAATAAATGAGTTATTCAAGATACAAAAAATAACCCTTTAAACCAAGCTGGCGGAGGTAACGACAACTTTGGAATCCCAACTTTTTGAATTTAGACTACCACAGACCCCCTCTAACGAATTCCGAAGGAAAATTGCTGCTTCGAATTTTTCAGAATCTCAAGCCTGTTCTTCACCTAATCCGATTGGGCTAACAAGCAAAATAAATAACGGTGAGTATTTTTTGTGATTTTGTAGATAATTGACTGTATTTTGCGACATTTGTGATTATGACAACTATTTTTTTTTTGTGAAAAACTTTGAAAAGCATTTTGGAATGTGCAGTTGGGCAAAATGGGATACCAAGCGGTCGGGTAAAACTGGATACTATCCCGTTTTGTCCAACCAAGAAACTATATAGATTTTCACGAGAAATTTAAACATTACTTTTGTTACAGGCTTGTTAAAAGATGGGAAAATATAAAAGAAAAACTGAACGGCAGTCTTGGAATGAGGAAAGTATGCGCCAGGCGGTGGAAGAGGTTCTCGAAAGAAGAATAGGGTATCTTAAGGCTTCGAAACAATTTGGGGTACCTCGGACAACTATTGAAGCCAGAGTAAAAAAAATTTAAAATGGGACTCTCGAACGAGAAAACTCAGCAAAAAAGGGACTAGGGCGTCACAGACCGGTTTTCTCTATGGAGCAAGAAGAAGAGTTGGTACGACACATTTTGTCTATGGAATCAGGACTGTTTGGTTTTAGTTTGAATGACTTTCGAAGTTTGGCCTTTCAGTTAGCTCAACGCAATGACTAAGCTAATCAATTTAACAGAGACAAAAAAATGGCCGGTAAAGCTTGGTTATACAGTTTTCTAAAGAGACATCCAAAAGTTTAACTTCGCACCCCTGAGCCAACATCACTTGCTAGAGCCATGGGTTTTAATAGACCTGCCGTACAAAAATATTTTTCGTTGCTGTCTGACGTGCTTGAAAAATATAAAATACCACCTGAACGGATTTACAACGTCGACAAAACGGGTATAATGACAGTGCCAAAGAAAAGATCGAAATGCTTATCGTTGCGTGGGAAAAGGCAAGTTGGGTGTATATCTTCAGCTGAACGCGGCGTTCTTGTCACCGTGGAAATTTGCATGAGTGCTACTTTTGTATTTATGCCGCCTACGTTAATTTTTCCTAGATCCAAAGCTAAGCTGGAGCTGCTAGATGATGCTCCTCCTGGAAGTAAAGCTTTTTATCATTCTTCAGGATGGATGCAAAAAGAGATTTTTTCGAACTGGTTCAATCAATTTGTTGAGTTTTCCAAGCCCTCCAAAGAACATCCTGTCCTCTTACTTTTGGACGGACATACGACCCACACAAAAAATTTAGACGTTATAGAGAAAGCTAGAGTTAGCGGTGTTGTAATGCTCTGCTTTCCACCGCATACCACGCATCGTTTACAACCGCTAGACGTCAGTTTCATGTCACCACTTAGCTCGTATTATACGTCAGAAGTTTAAAAATGGATGCAGCAACATCCAGGTCGACCAGTTACGATATCCCAAATAGGCAAGCTTTTCGGTAATGCATATATGACAGCTGCTAGCATCCAAAGAGCTGTGAATGGTTTTAGAAAGACAGGCATTCAACCTTTCAATCCAGAAATATTTGAAGACTGGATGTTTGAGCCAGCTCAAACAACAAACACACCGACGAAAAATAATGCAACTGGTCCAATTGAAGAAAATAATAGCCGCCCTCCACCACATACACCATCACCGATAACACAAAGGCTTGTTTTACGGCGATTATCACAAAACCAAGTTGCAGGTGAAGAGCAAGCAAGGCATTATGCAGAAAAGGTTGACAACTCCGCAACAACACCGGTATTGCCTCCAGATCCTGTTACACCACAAAAAACGCCCCAGATGCTTGAAAGTAAAGAAAATTTGTATAATACTCCTCCTCCTGTTTCTTGCAGAGATTTCGATGCAAATGCGACCCCCTCTTGTTCATACACCATCACGAAATTTGAAGTAACACCTCAACAAATAGTGCCAGTTCCTCACGCAGAAAGAAAAATTAATCCTAACGATAGAAGGAGAGGAAAATCGGCTGTGCTAACTTCAACCCCTTAAAAAGAAGAACTGGAAACATCTGTAGTGAACAAGCCTATCAAGAAACCCAAACTGAACTTGGAGGAAAATTAAAAAGTAAAGAATAACAAAGGAAAAAATAAAAAATGTGCCACTAAGCCAAAGAAAGGAAAGGAAAAAAGAAAGAAAGAAGACAGCAGTTCAGAAGAAGAGGAGGAGGATGACGAAGTTTGCATTTATTGCACAGAATTATATTCTAATTCTAAGACAAACGACGGTTGGGTAATGTGCCAGGACTATAAACTTTGGGCTCATGAAGCTTGCGCCGGTGTTGAGAACGATGGTGAGCCGTACTCGTGCGATTTTTGTCGGTGCTAATCCATTAATTGGTTTCGAATTATAAATATGAAACTCATAATGTTTCTCTTTTCAAGTTTTATTAAATAAATTTTATTTTAATATACTTTTCTATTCGTATTTAATCACCATCCCATTTTACCCGACCAGGTGGGCAAAACGGGATACTTTACCTTTTTTTTTAAATATGACTCTTTCTATGTTATCTTCAAGCTATTCAGGAATAACTGTTCCTAAACATAGGAAGTGATTAATGAGGAAGTTACATTTAAGAAACAGCAGATATCAATAGCCTAGTTAGAGAGTTACGGGTCAAATAACGTTAGCTATCCCGTTTTGTCCAACTCTCCCCTACTCAGGTACTTTTTTTAACATTTTTCACCAATTTAAAAACAAAACACTTTATTTCACACTGACTTACATCGAAAATTAACTTAACTTACGTACGACCCGCCAACTACAGTCAATTTGGTAAACTTTATAAAAAGAACGGAAATTTGAAATTTTACCATTATCGATTCACCTCCTTTTCTTTAATCATATCATAGGCCAAATATAAATTTGAAAATCCTCATTTTGTTTGTAAACATGATTTTAAAATTGAAAATTTCTATAAATTGTAATAAAAGTAGTTTGATGTTATTTAAAATACTTTAATTTATAAAAAGTTTTATCTCAAATACATTGTTCTTGTAGCTCCAAAAAATTGTCATCGTTACACATTTACTTTCTGTCATTTTCATTTAGAAGTATGTACAAAAAATATTATATAATATTTCTTATATTGTCTAATTTTTTTCACAAAGCATATATGTTCACTCAATAAAAATATACGAAAGTTCGAAAACTCTTGAAAACAAAGTTTGACCTATAACTTCACCAGAAGCGTTTTTGATACAAAACACTCACTTTTTGTTGTTTTTCACAATTTAAAGTTACGTGATTTGAAAGGCCTAATTACGTATATACTATTTAGTGACTTATTGCTATTGATGCCACAAATATTCAACAACTCCATTTTAAGTGAGTTTTGTCAAAATTTATTCTTCTACATCGTAGCTATTCTTGTAACTTTGATTTAGTCTTAAAGTAATTATTTTATTCTCCATTTAACTGTCAAATGTTGATATAATTTAAAAAAACAATTTTACTATAAAATAGCTTAATTTTTATTGTCTTTTATTTTCTGTTCATAGAAAAATTGTAAAAATTTGATAAATTAATAATAATTATGCTACCAGTTCTTTGAACATAATTTGGTAAAACAATGGTATAATTCTTATTATCATTGAAATAGACTAGTTTCTAATGAATATAAAGGTAATATTAATTTTATAACCCTACAGTCTAAACTATTATTTTTTATCTACATTAATTTCGTGTAATAAAAATTAATCAAATACGTTCGATTTTGCTCATATACAGTTAATTTCTTAATACTATTTTTCATCTTAATTGGCACAGGTAATTAACTTAATAAAGTAAATAGACGTGTTTATTTTGAATCTTCCCCTTCACCATTACCGTTTGGACCCATTTGAAAAGCTTCTTCAACGAGTTCGGCATTAACATACCCCGTACTTCTTCTGTTGGACAATCTGTTCTTCGACCTTCTTTTCCTTTGGGTTTCACTTCGATCTGCACTAAAAACAAAATTTTAAAAATAAGATGAATATATAGCATACACAATAAAATTTTTTGCAGAATTAGAAAATGTTTATAAAACGACAACAAAGCGTAGTGAGCAGTGTTGTAGTTAGGGTAGAAATTTTGAATCTGGCGGGAATTTTGGGTGGAATATTTTTCGGGAATTTTGATACAATAATAATTGGCATTATTATTATTATTATTTGAAAAATATAAAGAATTTACCAATTTAATAATTGGCATTATTATTTGAAAAATATAAAGAATTTACCAAAAATTCTAAATAAGTATTTTAATGTTTTAAATTAAAAAGGAAGACATGTATAAAAATAAAAAAAACAATCAGGTTATTAATCTAGTCAATGGCTAAATTGAGCGTGATATTTTTAAAAATACAACCATCACGTAAATTTGGTTTATATAGAGAGGAGACAGAAAGAAAGGGCTCTCGAGTAAGCTCTCTCAATCGAGTGTGGACAAAGGTCCAGGGGGCTTATTCTCTAACCAACGTTTTTGAAAGCGCTTAGCGCGTCTCTCTAGAAACGCGACAAACAACTCACAAAAGCGTATAGCACGAACGTTTCGGTATTCTCTACTTGCTGTGCCGTTCGCATTTGAAAAACGTAAAGCGCTTTCAAAAAAGTTACAGATGAGCAGCGTTTTGCTGTTCGCACTTTAAGTTTTGACATATGAGACGATTTGTGGATGTAGATAAGCCAAACACTTAAAATATGGACTTAATTATTAATCTAGATCAAAATGTTATTCAAAACATCGAAGATGCTGAAAATCGTGATATTCGACGCTACTATAACCCGGAGAATGCGTCCGAACTTTGCGAAAGGATGATGTGACTAACTTAACGGCTCTTATTGAACCCTTAGTGCTAAATCCACAAATAAACACTGCATTGACTGTAAATAGAAAAGCGAGTACTCAGATTTTATTTATTTAGATGATATAAAATATTATTAACTTTAAAATTTCTCATATTTTAGTTATTAGCAGCACTCCGTTTCATGGCAGGAGGTAGTTATCAGTTGGATATTGGCAGAAACTTTCAGATTTTTCATTTTCTCCATCTTTTCTGGTTCACCACCCATTTTTATATAGGATTTATTGTTTCTAGATTTTTTGCTTTGGTTCTGGATTTGATGTTATTCTAAGACTAAAAGCAGAGTCAAGTCCTCCCACATTTTTTGGAGTCAGCAGCTATATGCTGATTATTATCTTTTTGGTTTTTTATAATATTGGGATTGGCCTCAATATACTCCAGTAGGGCTTACTTTTGGGCCCTAGACATATGCTTTTTTATCGCGTTCATTTTTAATGATAAATTAATTATATTATTGTCAAAATGACATTACATTCAAATACTAACCTTAGTTATTCAGACCAATCAACATTTACGACTTATAATTATGACAGCTTACGACAAAAATAAAAATCACTTGCGAATAGCAAAAGAGTCTAGCATTAGAGAATACCATAATCGCATGCTTGTCGTTTTGGTAATCGAACTTTGTTGAGAAGTCCGCTTGGCGCTTTCGTTGCTATACGTTTTCGGCTGAAAGTTAGAGAATAACCCCTCAGAACTTTCGCCGAGGGCGGAAGCTCTCGTTTTTTTTAAACTCTTTAAGTCCCAAAACAATGTGATGTGTAGAGTAAAGTTTTGTGTACGATTTGTAAATTATGGGTAAATATTTTTAACTTAATTTTAAAATGTTTTGTTTAATAATAATTAATTGATTTACATATAAATACCAATTTTACATTTTCGTCACGAATTATCATATTTAGCTTATGCATATTTTTATATTATTATGTAGTTATAGTGCTTTATTCCTTAAATGGAATTTTATTCATTTTTCATTCCTAAGACTACTAGTCAAATTTTGTTCCTATTGTTAATATACATTTGTTAATGTTTTAATACTTATTATTATTCTCTCCTCCCTTTTCAAACCAGTAAAATATTCCGAGCATTTGAGAAGCCTCGGCGTTTCTATTCCCTTAGGACTAAAATATTCTTAAACTAGTTGCCGAGAACCGCTCGACTATGCTATTAAGGGATAATTTTTGTTTCAATTAATTTTTTTTATTTTTATTTGCCACTGGTGAATGGATGTTCCTTTTGGACTCCAGGGCCCTTTGGCTGGTGACGGTGCTGCCCTAATCCCTTAATAGTATATTAACAACAGTAGCTAAAGACCTATCAGTACTTAGAACTGGTCTTTAGGAATCCCGGTTGTTACATTTGGTGGCGAGCGTTGGTCCTTTACTTTCCGGTTGTTACAATTCGCTTATTGGCTTCCACAAATGTGGCTAACATTTTTGCTAAATAATCTTATAATTTATTTTAATATTTTACTATTTACTGGGTCATTTAGTGATGACGATAAATTCAAAATAATGAATAATGTATTTTTTGTATCTGACGGACTAAAACATGTATTTTACCCCCAAATTTTAGGGACTGAAGTGCCACTTATACTACCTTGCGACTAAAATATTTTAGTCCCAAGGGATTAAAAAATTTTAGTCCTGCAAATAACAAAACCAATAGAAACCATAGCAAACTAATTTATTTGGGAGGTAATATAACAAGATCACTTTCATAAGCAAACAAATTTAACGATTCTTCTGAAAATAGTAAAGGTTTTCACTTCTGTCGTGGGGTCTTAAGCACACACTTTATTTTATTATTACACGTTTACGTAAGAGTCCCATATTTTAGTAAAATTCTGCAATAACCTTGGTATGTCAGTGTGGCGCAACGGCAGAACGCCTGCCTTGTAAGCAGAGGACCAAGGTTCAAACCCGCGATAGGTTAGTTTTAATTTTTTTTTTTTTATTTTTCCATAATCATTAAGTAATCAATTAAATAATCGTTATAAAATAATATTAAGTGTTTCTTTTCACATAATTATCAAATAAATTTCTAAGTTTTAGTCCCTGCGGTACAAAAAATAGAGGGATTGAAACGCACTTTAGTCCCTTGGTACATAACATACTATTTTTTTTTCATTTTTTCCTCATTCTGTTGGAATTTATTTAAATTTTTATCGACTGATTGCAGACTAATTATATTAATTATTGTTTGAAATGTGTGTGTTAATAAACGAAAATCAGTGGTTTTTAATTTGTAGTTCGCCATTTTATTGGGCTCTTTTATGAATAAAATATCAATGTTTTCATGGTTTCAAATTACAAAACTTCATAAATGACCATGTTACATAAAAAAAGTAAAAATAAATCAATTCGTTGTAAATAGTAGATTTGGTGAACGTAATTTACAAAACATAAGAAACTAAGCGAGATAAAAGAATTGTTAAATAATCTTAACAGTTACATAACTTACAACTCATCTAATTGATAATACATTATTTGTTTTATATTAACTTTGCTTTATATACATTCATATTGTTTTTTAAATTAATCGCAACACATCAAATTAAGTTGTATATAAACATTGCTTATTTGCGGAATGGTTTTAAGTTGCTATCATGTAGGGGAGATCGGAGTAAGATGACGAACGGGGTAAGATGACGAACTTCTATATTTAAATAAGATAAATAATTTTTGAAGAACTACTACTGGTGCCATCTAGGTACAAATGCCCTGCATTAAAATTGATCCGCAGTTGTCCGGCCCGCTCATTACTGCAGTAGTAATATTTTCTAAATTTTATTAACAATTTGTGCCTTTCTCAGGTAAGTAAACAAATCCAATGCGTTACCAACAATTCTTTATTAGGTACCAATAGGTATTACCCGTAGTAAAATTGTTGAAGTTTTGTTATTGTTTACATTGGCATTGACATTTAATAAATTTACACACGGAAGTAAAGTGACGGAGATAAGATGACGAATTCGTCATCTTACCCCAAACATGCAGTATTCTTTTACAGAATGCTGCGAGTGTACAAGCGCAAAAATAATCATATCTGCAATAACTTACGATATTCCTCAGCCTACGTTAAGAAGATACTTAAAAAGAGATGCTCGAGGTGAACAGTTCCCGAAAAGCTGACGTCGTTTTAAGAAAACTTTTAATGAACAGACGAAAGAATATGTTAGCTACCTAACAGAATGTAACCAACGAGGCCTTGTATTAACTTCCTTGCTAGTTCGAAAACTCGCATATCAATATGCTGAAGCAAATAATATAGAACACAGGTTCAATAGGGAAACAAAAGCAGGCGGGACTGATTGGTTCAAATCTTTTAGTGCACGTAACAAGTTGAGTCTTAGAAATCCTGAAGATACTTCAATTGCATGGCTACGAGGATTTAATAAGATCGCTGTCAACAATTTTTTTACAATTTTGGAAGAGATTAGGACCGAATATAAGTTTAAAGCAGACCGCCGCATCTACCACGCAGACGAATCTGGTCTTTCAACTGTGCCAACGAAGCTGCCAAAAATCATCACTCCAACAGGACAACGACGAGTTGCTACAATAGTGACAGCTGAGAAAGGTCGAAATACAACTTTGGTGTGCGCAATGAATGGTGTCACGTTACACGTACCTCCATTTTTGATATTTGGCTGAGTTAGAATGAAAACCGAGTTGTTAAATGGTTGTCCTTCCGGTTTTGATGGTAGGGCACAACCTCCAGTCTGTTGATGATTCCCACACAACCCACTGATTACAACCATTAGACGTTTCGTTTTTCGACATTTTAAGGCATTCAGGAACTCCAATAACCGACAAAAATATAGAACGTTTGTTTGGGGAGGCTTACTGCAAGGCAGTCAATGTAAATAATGCTGTAAACGGCTTTAGAGCTCGTGGCATTGAGCTTTTTAACCCTCTGGTTTTTGATGACAGTGATTTCGTACCTTCAAAAACAACTGAACGTGATGAACAACCTGTAGTAATGATTGTAATGATGACGATGTTAGGTCGTTAATAAAAAAAACGGATTCATCATTATCTGATGAAGAGGATCAAGTACCTATCTTTTACTACACCTGAACAGACCACATCAAATGAAACATTTAAAACTTCAACCATAGGTCAAATAGAGACACACAAACGTCAACTTTTTTCAGATAAAGATACTTTAAGTAAGCCCCTTCCTACTATTTGAAAACTTAGGCCAATTGCAATAACTGGAAGGTCCTCGAACCTTGGAAAAAAATTGTCACATTCTGTTATAAGTGGAACTCCAATGAAGTTACAAACTAAAAGAAAACATAGAGAGATTAAGGAAAAAGAGGACAAAAAAATTAAAACAAGAAAAGAAACAACTGCAAGTACATAAGAAATCTACAGTTCAAGAAAATAGAGGACAAAAACGTCAAAAAACATTGCCCTGTGCTGCTTATATTGCAGATCCCAGTTCTGCTGGTCTCAGCTCTGATCATCCCAGTGCTACTGATACTGTAGGTCTCAGTAGTGAGATTCAATATTTTTGCCCTGCATGTAACGAAGAATATAGCGACCCACCATCTGAAAATTGGTTGTAATGTTCTCATTGTATGTCATGGTGACACGAAGTATGCAGCAGCTATGAGGGTTTTGGCAGTTTCTCTTGTGATCTTGTCATCTTACCCCAATAGGTTCGTCAACTTATGCGATAAGTTGACAGAAAATACATTTATATTTTTACATTTTTGGTAAGATTAACGGTACACAAAGTCATGAACATGTTTGTACTGATATGTATTTAACTTTCAAATAAATTACTTTTCTTTTTATGTTCATTTTCTCTTAATATCGTCATCTTACCCCGATCTACCCTACAAAGTTATTTATTATTTAATAATTATTAAACATAAGTAAAATAACATTAAACTATTGAATGATATATAAAGGTTATATGGGATGTACGGAAGGAATATTCTGGGGGTTAAAACTCTCCTGGCAGGAGATTCTCCGCGTACCAGAGTTCTGATCACGGATCTTGGTCGAGGCTTAAAATCTTTTATTTCTAATCTTGGTCGGGAAATATTGGAGTTCGTGAGTGTATCTCATATTTGATCCCATATTTGTCTATGTCGGATATTTAGCTCATTTTGTAATACTTCTAATATATTTACTGGAGAAAAAAATGTGTTGTCTTTAGTTTTCCTTGGTACTTTATATCCAGGTGGATAAATTCTGCAAAATATGCTTCTTTGGTGAAATTTAGCTAGTATCACAAAAAATTTTGAGCAAACAGCTTGTTTTTAGGTTGGAAATTATTCTCCCAAAGAACCTATATCGCATGACTTTTCCGCCTATTAAATCCGTAACATCATACGCAAACCCATTTACTAAAGTTTCCAATTAGTTTTCGGACAAAAATATACACCCATTTTATATTTAAAAAAAAAATTAGATTTTGTACTGAAATTTTACTATTGTCGAAGAAACCTTCAACATATACAGTGTGACAATTTAAAAACTTACAAACCAAAAATGATATCAAAAATGCTTAAAACCGTTTTTACTTTCCTATCTGTATACAGATATAAGGAAAGTATAGGAATCATGATTTTTTTCGACCTCGAGTTTTCGACGGATTTTTACGTTTTGAGGTCCCCTGAATCCGTTTTGACTATTTTCGCGATGATGTCTGTGTGTGTGTGTGTGTGTGTCTGTGTGTGTGTGTGTGTGTCTGTGTGTGTGTGTGTCTGTGTGTGTGTGTGTGTGTGTGTGTCTGTATAACGCATAACTCATGAACCGATACACAGAAAAACACCAAATTTTAAACTTAAGCTTTGTTTCAGCGTCCAATGAGCTGATTAGATTTTGGGCAGTGTCGGAACATCTGGGGGGGTACTTTATAGGTGGTCATTTTTATATTTTATGGAATATATCTGTTATTTACGTTTGGAGAAGAAAATTCTTCAAATAAAAGTTACTTCTAATATAATTATCTATAATTTTTGTTTTATGCAAAATTTTCCTAAAATGGTCCGTATTCGAGAAATTTGACAAAATGTAAAAAACATAATTTTTTATAAAAATTGTTCAAATAAAAGTTGTTTGTAATATAATTCTCTATAATTTTTGTCCTATACATAATTTCTCTAAAATGGACCGTATTCGAGATATTTGAGAAAATGTGTAAATTTCGAAATTTGAAGAAAACTCAAAAACGGATAAAGGAAAAAACATTAAATTTTAAACTTAAGGTTTATTTCGGCCTGACGTGAAATAATTAGATTTTGGACAAAGTCGGAACATCTGGGGGGGTACTTTATGGGAGGCCGTTTTTATATTTTATGGAATATATCTGTTATTTATGTTTGGAGAAGAAAATTGTTCAAATAAAAGTTACTTCTAATATTATTATCTATAATTTTTGTTTTATGTCAAAATTTCCTGAAATGGTCCGTATTCGAGAAATTTGACAAAATGTGCAAAATTCTGATTTTTATGAAAATTGTTGAACTAAAAGTTGTTTGCGATATCGATTTCTATAATTTTTGTTTATACATGATTTTTCTAAAATGGACCGTAATGGAAAAGTGCTAAATTTAAATTTTTCTGTATTTTCGTTTTCAATGAAAATCTATAGAAAAATGTTTCGAGGTAGATGTATGTGTAAAATGTATATATTTAGTTTATCCTCTAAACATTTATAGAGATGCTGCAATAGGTTGTACAAAATAACCGGAAAATGCCTATAATAACTAGATAGGAAAGTCATGTGTTGGACACATCAGATTTTTTCATATGTGGAAAATTCGGGTATGTGCCTAGTTTTAAGAACGAGGATGAATAAAGCGGGAATTTTAGAATTCCAGGATGGAAAATTTTAGACTTTAAATTTGAAAACACTGCTGATAAATGAACCCATGAAGCAACGCTTGTGCAGGAGAAGGACTGCTATTACCGTCAATAATATGGAGAGGACAAAACAAAGTTTCTAAAGTAATCTACGTCAAAATCACGCATATCACAGCGAACATTTCTTCTTTATTTTTAAATAACAGTTTGGATTTATTCCAGAGGAGTAAGTAGTTATCACGGACATGACTTTTATCTCCGTCTTTGTGGGTCCTGGATTACTTTAAAAAATCATTTTTTATTACCTTATTAATTAAGCCTTACACGAGTAGTAAAATATAAAATTTAATTAACAAATAACATACAAAGAACTTGAAAAAATTTACAAATACCTCTGAAATGTAAAGTTGTATCCGAAATGTTTAAAGTACAAAATCTTAAACAGACTTAATTATTTTAAAAATAAGCCTTATCATCAAAATGACAACATAGATTAAAAATACTGGATACTCATCGGATTAAATTGGAGATTTATGAAAATAATGGCTTCAATATTTAGATAAAAATTTTTATTTCTTTTTTTTTTATAATATAATGTATAAATGATTATTTTTTTCTAAATATCTTATAATAAACCATAGAGCAAGATGTAGTAGAACACTATGGTAAGAAAATCCATGATGGGAAGCAAATAAAAGACGAGCTCAATAAAAGGAAAAGTGGCTAGATGCAGTTAAAGAAGAAGGAATGTGTGTGTTGAATAGTGGACAGTTCTAGCAGTTAACAAAGAAAAATGGAAGAATATATTTAATAAACTTTAAGCCATGATCCTTTAGGCTATATAATATCGGCTATCAAACACTTTTTAATACGCGTCGCACAAGTGTGTGTGTGTGTGTGTGTGTGTGTGTGTGTGTGTGTGTGTGTGTGTGTGTGTGTGTGTGTGTGTGTGTGTGTGTGTGTGTGTGTGTGTGTGTGTGTGTGTGTGTTTGTGTGTGTGTGTGAAAAAACAGAATAAGCATTAGAGGAAACGAATAATTTTAGCGACGCCAGCTTATACGGCCCAAACAATGTTACTAAACATTTATTTCACCATTTACTTTAGGGGGAACCGAGGTATCAACAATATTGAAAGAAGAAAGGTGAACTTATGCATTTAGGCGATTTCCTATAGTTGGGTGACAGTATGAGATATAAACTTTACAAATCAGAAAAAATTACTTTATACTAATTTAAATAAATAATGTTAAAATAAGCAAACTACTGAAAACTGTCGCATATTCAAAATAATATTGTGGGTCAAAAATTAAACATTAAATTCTTATAGAGGAGCTTTTTCATTTTGTTCTAGCTACACCATTCGCTTAAGTAAAACTTTAATATTATATTATACTTACTTTGAATGGTTCCTTAGTCTTACTGCTGGATGTTCTGCTGGGTTATAATTTTCTGGAACTCCATACTGATTTCTATAACTCATTACACTTTCCGTCTTCTCGTGAGCAAACCTAAAATATTAATATTTTATATTTCAAAAATACTTCATCAAACGTCAAATATATGAATTTCTCAGTTAAATCATAAATCCAACGACGTTTCCAAATTGCTACCAGTGGGATCTGACAGTTTAGATATGGCAACCTTGTGGACATGTTGTCATTGACAGGGTCAATGATTATATAGATTGCTCAAAGCGAGTCCTTTACAAGCGGCCATGTTGCCTGACAAGTGTTTATTAATTTGAATAGGTTATGTGTTTTAAAACCAATTTTCAAGCATTGAGTATTTAAAAAAATAATTGCCTATATTTTTACTTCAAGGGATAAGCCTATGTTTATTTTTAAATCCATGGTTGTTCAATATATATATTATTAACCCTATAAAACCACCAGGCACAGTGTTACAATATTATAACCTATCATGTGCCTATCAGTGGCCTGTCATTTCAAATGGGAAGTCATTTTGTTTGGAACGCCTAGTTGGATCGTAATTATTTGGTACTTTGACATTTTCTTTAATTGTAAAAGTAGAGTAGAAAAATGGTATTCCGATAAAAAAATCGTACAATAGGTAAAGAAAATACATGAAACTTGAAATTAACACATTTAAAGTAATCATTGACTATCACTTGAAAGTGATTAAAATTTTGCATGCAAGCTTTTCTAGTGCCGTGATAGTCGATGTTGGTACAAAATCACCATGATCAAAATCAGGATAAGTGAGAACGAAAATTACTGCCTTCAGAAATTACAAACGGCGTATGAATATTTGCAAGTAGTTTTTGATTTTTATTGTTTTATGTTCTGAAGTTGTTGCAGATATTTAAATAAACCTACTAAAAAAAAAAGGGAAGATCGTTTTTTTACGTACGATCTCACTAATGCAATCGTACAGAAAGTTAAAAAATCGTATAAATGCGATTTATATCGTACGATTGACAACACTGAGACAGACAGTAGACGTGGACAGCAGTGGACAGTTTGTTAATATAAACAAAGAATACCTACCCAAGAAGCGACACTAAATGGGCGATTCGTGGACAAAAAAATGCCAAGTTTTCTCAGTGTTTTAGAGGTAGTTTAACGTCAAATATAGTTGTCAGTTCATGTAGTGTATGACGTTTGGTATATTATTCTTAGCGTTTTGAGAAAATTTCAGTAGGTTTATTTAAAAGTAGTAATTATATATTACATAGTTTAAAGGTTTTTATTACAATGAAAAAAATACATTGCGTTGTTCGTGGTTGTGTTACAACTTCAGAACAAGGGCTAACAATGTTTAAATTCCCAGGAGATGCCATAAGGTATGTACTGAAATGTTACTGTTCAAATTTATTTAGAAAAATTAAGTATTAATAAATATAATTTTGTAGAGCTCAACTCTGGTTAAAAGCTTGTAATCGTGAAGATTTAAATTTCACAGTTCCTAGTGGCTTATCTTCATATAGAATATGTGAACAACATTTTGAAGAAAAATATTTTTCAAACAGTACATCTTATAGAAGACGATTATTTGACAATGCTGTACCCACAGTATTCTCCAAATGCAAACGAAGCTATGATATTTTCCTACGACCACTTAGGAAAATGACACATATCACACTATGGGAAGTGCCCTATATCACACGCGTATGAATAAGAATTTACTTTCCACCCGTGTACGAATATGATACTTTCCGCAGTAGCTGTCAGAAAATGTTAAACATATAATTTCTATTTTGATCTATGTAATGTCCATATTAATACTAAAATCGATATGATTGTTAAATTATTGAAATTGTTGTAAATTACATCCTAGATATTTATCTTTAACAATTATTATTAAAATAATTTTAAAATAACTAAGATATGTTTGCTTTTTATTCTGGTTAAATGGATAACCGATTAGATCATTCAATTGACGTAAGTTCTATTAGCTCAGATGGTTAGAACGTCGAACTTATTAACTTTGCCATTTGAGACTTGGCGAGCGACCGCGTTCAAATCTTGGCGGGGCCAGATTTTTTTTTTGTTTTTTTTTTATTTTTAGTATTTTTTTGTTTAGAAAGTGTGAAAATTGAATAAATACGATTATTGTCCGGTCCATAAATATGCAACAAGAAAAAAAGCAAGGACTTATCGTAGCCGCCACCCTACGATAAGTCGTAAAGTGGCTTCGCCGCCACCAAAAAACATTAACCCATACCTGACTACGCCGATCGGCATAGACTCCAACGGCCTGGACACAGCTCAAATTGAATTACATAAGACATTGAGGACAATTTAAATATTTATTATATTTTCGAAATAAATAATTTTTTGAGCTTTTAAGGACCTTGGCACATGGAAAATACTTGGATAAAACTTTATTATAATGTTGATAATGTAATTTTAAATAACTTCTATATTATGACCGTTTTTAAGATATAAATGGCTTGAGGACGTGTCAGGGAAATTTTTCAAAATAATCTTGCTTCTTTGGAAACAAAACTTATTGTTCTTTAAAGATAGTAATTCATTTCTCGTAGTTGATATCATTTTAAAGATATAAAATAATTATTTATTTGAAAAAATTAGAAAGACATGTATATGTCGCTTTAATGTGAAGTTACCCACCTGCCAATCCTGGTTTTTGGTACGTCTGAGGATGCCTAGACATTTTTTTATTGCTGTTTCTTATTGCTTATTGATCAAAATAATCTAAGGATGAACTAAATAAGAAATACATTTTCCAATTCCAAAAATTAGAATCTTACATTTTTTGTAAAATTTCTCGAATACGGACCATTTTAAATGACTAAAATTATAGAGAATAACATTACAAGCAATTTTTATTTAAAGAATTTTCTTCTCCAAGCGTAAATATCAGATATATTCCATAAAGTAGAAAAACAACCTTCTACAAAGTACCCCCAGATTTTTCGACTGTTTCCAAAAATTAAATCACTATTTTGTTTTTCAAACCATACGGACTGTGATCGATTTAATCCATTAAATAATATACATATAAACAATTTTATAGTAAGGATTAAAACAGTAATATATATGACAGACTCACTCTGAGGAACCAAGTCGCTGCTATCAGGATCATGCAATCAAAATACATTCTCAGCTACCTACAGTACTTATTACTAAAATTATTATTATTATTATTATTATTATTATTATTAACATTATCTATTGAACATAGTAAGAATTTTCCGTCATTTTAACTTTAATATGTGTTTAATTCTCATGAACCAAACAACAAAAATTGATTGGAATTATACGTTTCCCTTGTGTATATTAAGTTCCCATTTATGTCAAGGTCGCTGCTACTTTGGTACATAGAAAAACTCATTCAGTTTCGCTTCTTGGGTATGTATTCTTTGATATAAATGGCAGTTAGTTTTATGTATATCAAAGAATCCTGAATTTAAACTTTAAATTTGGAGTTCATGATTGTGTTATCCTCTAGATGAACTAAGCGAAATGGTTGTGGCTGTTTTGGTGTGAAATTTAAGGATAGTAATTATATTTTGTAACATTACAATAAGTCGGAGAACGTATTGCATTAGTAACACATGCCACATTAATAATTTTAATAACCCCAATGTGGCGTTGTTTAATTAACCTGTTCATGTAAGTAACACAAATAATAACCAACTTTTATCACAAAGTAGGTATTTATTTATTATTTACTGTTTTAGAACAAGAAAATGGCTTCAAAACGTTAGAAAGAAGATTTGATATAGGAAGAAACATATCTGAATTCCCATTAGTGAGTTTTTGCACTCAACATTTTTAAATAAGACAGTATTGGCCATTCGTTTGGAAAATAAGAACAAAAATGTAATGTTACAAATAACGATCAAAAATTAAAAAATATTTGTCATGAATAGAATTACAATAATTAATCAATAATAGACTGTAAGTGTAGAATTCTTTTTAATAAATAATTTAGCGTAATTACATTGTTTAAATTTATTTACAAGAACATGAGAGTACAGTGGATATTTATACAACCTTTATTATCAGGTTTTTAAATTTCCCCCTGCGTTGTTTGATATCAATGAAAGCGCCACATAGTGGGTCAGATGTTAACTGCATTAAAGTTGGTCGTTATTAAGCATTGGCTTCTTATGAGCGTTTCCTATCTTTATCTCTCTTATCTCTGATTGGTACATTTATTTCAAATGTTCCTTGATGTTGGAACCAGCAGTGAGATTCTCATCTTTCAATATTGAGAATCATCTATCTTCGTTCGACAGAATGTGATTCGTATGAAATGTCTCTCTCTATTCAACACGTAACGTGTTGAGTTCGCACATAAGAATCTCTGTCCAGACCTCTCTTTAACAGACGTATACGAGTATATTAATAAGCATCACCTTTTCTTGTTATTAAAACTTGTAGAATATATGAGTTGAAGGACAAAACACATTATTTAATTTTATTTTAGAGTGACTAGTCACATTACTGATAATAATCGTTCAAGTAAAAGTATTTCTTAGTTAAATTTTCATTGAAAAAGGTAAAATATCAAATAATGACTTTACAATTATTGCCAGGTAAACCAAATCACGTTTAATTATAGGTTGATAAATTTAGTAGTACTCGACATTTATATAAATGATAAATAATATATGTTTATAGCGCGGTCATTTTCATGAATACATTGGTTAGTACATCAACCACATCCCCAACTAGTGTTGTAATTTAGAAAAAAAGTCCTGGGCTATAAAAAAATGTCCAGGAGATTTTTTGTTTGACATGTTTGTCAAGGGATTAAAAACAGACAGAATACATTTTTTTATAACAAGAGGAGTGCATTCAAGAGTTTGGATTTCGTACGTTCTTGAAAACTGCGTTTCATTTTCGGTGAAGACCTTTGCGATAACACTAGCCATTGATAAAAGTGTGTTTGTTGTGAAGTCATCACCATCATCTACTAACTGTATAGTCCAGGAGACAGTGACGATTTTCATTGTCCTTTTGGAGTACCCAGAACCGAAAACTTTTTGGAGGTGTGCAGCTTAGATAAGGGCTTT